CTCTGCTCGAGCTACCGCTCCTGCTCCTGTCGCTGCTGTCGCTGCTGCCGCTCCCGCGGACGACAAGCATACATTGCGCGGGCTTAATGACCGACTGTCCGGATATCTGGACAGAGTGAAGCAGCTGAGAGAGGAGAACGACAGTCTGGAGAAACAGATCGATGACATCCTGGACAAAAAGAGAACACCTGAGGAACGCGACTGGGATGAGACAGAGAAACCTCTTCAGGCACTCAAGGACAAGGTCAGAGCATAAGTTACTATAGCATCAGTTTAGGGCAAAATATTGAAATGTTTAAAGCTGTCCAAATTATTATTTTTTTAAACTGCTCATCTGAGCTTATAAAAACAGCTGGCGTTACATTGACTACTTTACCATATCTGTTTATTGTAGATTGCTGTACTTTAATGAACTGTATTTGGAATTCAATACAAATGAAGTTCAAATTCAGACAACCACCCTTTGACACTCTGTTGTGTACTTTCAAATTGGATTTTATAATAATTTTAAATAAATGAATGCAATAATCACTAATTATATTTTGATCTATGTACCTAATGATATGGATTTTTTTATTCAGGTCAAGGACCTCACCATGGAGAATGCCAAATTACTAATCCAGATTGACAACTGCAAACTGGCCCATGATGACTTCAATGACAAGTGGGTTTTATTTCATTGAAATTCAAACGAAAAAACAACCACTTTTATTAACAACGGAAAAATAAATCTTATATATATTGGTACAGTATTTGACTTTAGCTGAGGAACTCTACTTGTTTGCAGGACAGACAAGGAGAAAAGTGCACGTGAGGAATTAGAACATGACTTGGAAGATCTGAAGAAGACCGCTGAGGACACCAGGCTGAATTGTGAGCAGAAGAAAAAGGAGATTGAGTTGGTGAAGGAAGAGCTGGTTCGCCTTAAGACGGAACACAAGGATGTGAGGCTCTATAACTTTATCTACAACAATTTATTATGAAAGTGATTGCTTTAATTTGTATAATTCTTCTTTGAGGATGTGGATGCCCTGAAGGAGAAGATCAGAGAGTCTGAAGTGATTGTGGAAATTGATTCCAAGAATTCCAACCTGGCCGAGATTGTCCAAAAAATCCGCAGCAATTATGATAAAATAGCCCAGAAGAATCTTAAGGAAACTGAGGAATGGTACCAGACAAAGGTGACATATATTTTCCTCACATTGTGGTGCTGTCCTTTCTGTATCGTGTGTTCACATGATATGTCGCACTGGTCTTTCTCTTCAGTTTGAAAACATCCAGGTGGCCGAGGCCCAAAACGTGGAAGCCTTGCAGTCTGAAATGACTGAGCGTAAGGAGCTGCAGAAGCAGAAACAAAATCTGGAGATCAGGATCCAGACTTTACTGTTAATGGTAAATAAAAACAATAAGAAACTCATCGTCATGATTTTGCATTTATCTTAATCTTTTACAATTAGTTAGTTAGTATGTTTAACAATGCAGTATGAAGGTTCTGCATTTTAGCTACCACTAATCGAATCTCTCACACTTTTCATCTATTGATTTGTAAATTCATGTCCCACATTGCAGGAGATGTGTGTGTTCTAGAGAGGCTTAACTGACCATAAGCAATACTGCGTATTTTATGGAAAACTTCTCCGTTACGTAGAAGTCTGCTGAAAACGAGATACAACTTAAATTAATTCTGCCCAGAGCTTCAGCTGATGTTTGACACTTTTTTTACAGCAAACTTCATACCCTCATAAAAACATGACTTTTTGACATTGCCTTTAATTTAACAAGTATTCCCTTCAGCCCTATCATTACCATTCAAACCTGACACTTTAACTAACATCTAAAATTGTCATGCAGCTGCGACTCTGTTTTGGTCTTCCAAAACACAACACATCTATAAGTCAAAATGTTCTGTCCTTTATCCAGATCAGGAACCTAGAGGAAACCCTGCTAATCACTGAAAAAGAGAATGGCCAACAACTGGATCCTCTCAATAAGACAATACTGAAGCTATCAGATGAGCTGGAGAAGTTAAAGTCACAGTTGAAGCAGCAGGTAGAAACCAACAAGGATCTGCTGTGTGTCAAGATGAAGCTGAAGTCAGAAATCGACAACTATCAGCAGCTGATCCAAGGAATGACCGCTGACTCTAACAGGTAAGAGTGGCCAGAATGGCATCCTTTTGGCTGGAAAGATCATTTTATCTGTTTGCCGAACAAAGAATTATTTTTAATGTCATATGAACATGTCAACTTTCTGGGGGGAAATGTTTACCAATGACAGTGGAGCTGGTGGGAAAGAGAAATGTTGCTCAAATCTGTCTGATGTTATTAAAGCACTAATATGATAAATAAATAGGTAAGTTGCAACAGTCATGTTTGGCAACAGTGTTGTTTGAGGTTTACAGCCCAGAACAGTAGGCCTCAGGTCTGTAATCAGCCAGACCTGTCATCAAGAGGGCCAGCAGCAGGGCATTTACTGCTGGGTTGTACACATTCCCAGGTGTACCTCTAGCATTCACTGCGCAATTGTTGGTCTGCAATAATAAATCAGTGGAGTTGTACCTGTGCAACAGTTGTATGAGAACAAGTGGTGTTTTTCCACAAGTATGTGGCAAAATGATGGCAATCAGGTACCACATTATTAAACACTGTAGGTAGGCTGTAGACCAGGGGTCACCAACCTCTTTCAAACTGAGAGCTACTTCAAGAATACTAAGTAACACAAGGGGCTACTTGTTTGGTACAGACTTCCTGAACAGTGTAACAATAATTAAAAAGAAAACTAATGTTGTTCCGTCCAGTTCTGGGACATACAGCAGTAGACACTCTTCTTACCATCGTCACTGGACCCATTTGAATATCAAATACAATAATACAATAAAAAACTTACACGTTCACTCCTGTCTTTTTCATGTACAGCTTGGAGTTTGCTATAGAGGATGCTGTACTATGTGGTAAGTTACAGATCTGAGAGGAATTCAAATTCATTATAAAAAAACACAGGGACCTCCTGTTTTTGTCAATTCGTGCTGCACACAATAAAGGGACAAGTGAAAACTTTTGAACACAATTATATGTTTAAAACCTGTACATTTCTTTTTCATTTTCCCACTTGCAGAACAACAGGAGAAAACAAAAGAAGAAGCACCTATAAAACAAGAAAGCAGCCCAACTAACAAATCTGTCTTTCAGAAGGAGTTAGTGGAGGAAGGTGATGTCATCAAGCCTGAAGAGGTTGCTGTAAACGCTGCACCTCCAAATGCAATCGACAGCTCCACTGATAAGAAACAAAAAAAGTCTAAAAAGAACTCGTCGTCCTCCTCCTCCTCCTCATCATCATCTTCTTCTTCCTCCTCTGAATCAGATGAAGATAAAAAGCAAGAATGATAAAATGTTTTCTCAATAAATATAGATCTTTACTACCGTATTCTGAGGCCTTCTGAATGGACCTCCTGCAGTTTGATGTCAGTTTATGTACTTCATACTAATGTGAATCCTACATATTAGTTGTCATCGACTACTCTAAAATAAACTGAAGTCTACACTCACTGAGTATCCCTGTTTTTATTGTTGTTGTTTTTTATATTAAGTAGTAAGTCCAAAGTAGAGCAGAAAACAGTTGGTTCAACATCCAGATACTCATTTCACAAAAGTATAACTCAAATCCTACAGTGTGGTAATTTTGGTTTAGAGTTTGTGGATTTTAGTCATTACTGTGTATCTTGACAGTGGCTTGTAGAACGTGTGAAGAGTTCCTTTCAAAACGCCTTCGTCCTTAATATGAATTGGCCCCCAGTCCCTCACAATCCATTTGACAATAATGTATCAGTCAGCTTCACAACTGTAGACTTATTCACTGCTTTGTGCTCAGTTTTGCTGGTCTGACACGTCTGAAGCCCCTACTGCATGAGATGGTATTTTAAGCTCCTGCAGTTTGTCCAAATATTAACGTGTATTGACTATGACTATGTAGAGTAAACCTGAAGGTAAAGTATATATTGCCAGTGTTTTTCACACGCCAAATTCTCCGCATACACTATGTGGTGTTCAGCTTTAAGACTTTTATACATATTCAAAATCATCAGTCATCCTACTTTGTTTTTTCCTCCTCACCTTTCTTTAAAGGCCTATTTTCCTTCTGTAACTTTTTATTTATTTTCTTTTCACCTCTGGTCCCAAACTTCTACATTTACATCTCTATCATTTAGTCAGCCTAACTTCCTGTGGATCCCATTCAGCTGTCTCTGCCAGGTGAACATATCCTTTACAGTTTTCCTTGCTGTCCAGCACCACCCCTCCTCCATGGATGTACCCACTTTAAAAATACTTTAGTATTCTTCGTTTTTTTTTTTTTTTTACCTTATCTAAAGTCATTTAAGCATGAAATACCAGCAAAATGTAAAGCTAAGTAAATCCTAAAAAAGGAAAATGTTAACAAACACTTAATAGAAATGAATGTCAGCTGCAAGTGGACTTATGTTTGTCCAAAATAACGTTGATAGACGCAGTAAAAACATCTACGAGAAGTCAAGATGAGTTTTAGTGGAAGAAAGGTTTTATTTTATTTTTTTTTAAATGACCATTGAACAGATGACAAAAGCACAGAGAATTAAGGACTAAATTCAGCTTTCGTATAGAATTCAGTAAAAGACATATCAAAAATGTTCTTTTCCATACATATATTTATATAAGGCATTTACAATTATCTCTTTAACTACGCAAAGCAAAAGTGTCAATTTTGTTCAACTTTTTTCAAACCAGGGCTTTTTGAAATCCCCCCAGAACACCACCCCCCATGAAAAAACAATGGACACACATGTGGAGCTGGACAGGTGTATTTTTTAAGATGCGAGGTGGTCGTGTCCACTGTGATGTCGAGTCACAATGAGAGCCAGTCCATGAGTTTGGAATTCTCTACGCAAGATCAGCCTTAACGGGAAAAGGTCTTTCCTCTGAAAAAGACAAATCAAACAGGGTTATATCAGACATGATGTTTGCAGTCTTTGTGTTAAGTTAGTGATAAACTCAAGTTTAACATTTTACAAGACTGTTCTCATCTACTACAAGACCTTTGTCAACTCTTAACACACAACCTTTTGTTTAATTATCTGTGCACCTGCACTCATGCTGTTAAGAAAATTCCTCCACCATAACCCTTGGTAAACAATCTTGATTTGGAACAGTGTATCTCGTCTTCGTCAAACAAATTAAAGTCTGACTCGTACATGTTTAGGTTACATCACACGTCTGCAAACCTTGCAGCTAAACACATGACTCATATGTGTGTGGGACTGGTATTTCCCTGCAGAACAAAGACTCCATTGTCACACCATGTTTCCCACCTGTTTCAGGGCTGGGGGTAGAACAGACCACTGGGCCAAGGAATAACATCGTCCAGGCTCTTTTTAAAATATGGCTACATGTAAAGATTTACATGTGCGAGTTATAGTACCGGAAATAGGGATTTTGTAAAAGCTGTAAATTTAATCAAAATCAAATCACGTCAGCAAATATTGGAGCTGATGCTGGTCCTGTGTTTTTATATTGGTAGATAGAATTATAGAGTTGTGTGAAGCTCTAGTTCTTTTATACTCAGATGTTTGTTCAGCTTAAAACAAACCAGGGTTTATTCCCCTGTGTATTCCACATTCTTGTGAAAGTTCATCTGAACTCTGGGTTGCATAAAACAAGCTAACTGTGGTCCACCTTAATATGTTGGACTTGGTTGGCTTCAAGTCCACCGCTGTGGTTTGCCTTTAGTGGATAATGCAGCTGACCATGCATTATGATTAGGAAAACTGAATCACTGGTGAACCATTTAAAACACAGAGAAAGTCAACATAAATAAGGAGGTGCTCTATTGTTTGTTTGTGTAATGAATGTGCTGATTCAAAAGGAGGGATTTCCATCTCTGGTCATGGAGAATTTATCAGCTGGCTTTTTTCCACTTTTTTCCTCATGCATGTTCTCTCTTTCTGGTTACCCCTCCACCCCCCTTTACCAAAGAAACAGGAGAGATCCCTGCCAATGAAAGGGAACCAGAGTTTACTTACGAAATGGTCTTCATTTCCTTCTTCTCAGCATCAGGTCGAGCCCGTAAGAAAATCTGATGTCTTGGCCCTCATGCGTGTATGAATGTAGGCCTGTGGGAAAGACATGAACAGGAATGAAGTATTCATATTTGTCACTTGAGTTTGTTTGTCCCGTGCATACTCTTAAACACAGGGTTTGGCTATAGTGACGCCAACGCAGACTCCCTCATGTCTGACCATGAAACATTCAACATTCATTCTCAATTATTTGCCGTCTGAGCAGCAGAAACCTGCAAACAAGACAAGGGCTAAATGCCAACACCAATATAAGTTACGCAAAGCAAACACCTCTGATTATTGTTTACAGTGTTGACAAGTCCATTAACAGAGGCATTTAAAGCATGAGCCCATGTGTCATGTGTACACAAAAGCTTCTAGCAACAGAAAAATGTATGACTAATAAGGGATGAAGAACAAGGTCTCCTATAGTTTCTTAATTTTTTCTTTAACTGGGGATCTATTGTAAAGAATGTTTGACAACTGGACCACCTTCTTTTCTTCAACCTGTATTTAAAGGAGACTCAACAGTCTTCAGTACAACCAGTGTCTAAGTCAGTCATTTTCAACCTTGGGGTTGTCTGAAATCTCTAGTAATTGATAAAAACAAAAATTACTGATGGAAATATTTTTTCAATTATTTTTTAAATGATTTAAAACAACAATGTTGAACAACTGTATTCTTTCACTTTCAGGAGTATATAAAAACAAGAGTTTAAATAAAACGCGGTATATTAAAATATCTGAGCTGGCGCAGGGTGTTATTTGTTTACTTGTACCTTATGAAAAACTTTTTTTCTAACAGCAGAAATGTTGAAACCAACCTTAGAGCACTTTATGTGGTAGTGCAGGTAGTCCCTGAAGGTGTGGATGAGATTTATGGTATTGTCTCTGGCATTGGCATTGGTGTGGCGTGGGAAGAGAACTGTGAAAACAAAAAAACAACAAAGTCACACTCTCAAAATAACCAGAACAATTTTAATGTTAGTTATATTGGCTGTAAGGAAGACTGATTCCACACAGCATTGTGCTTACCAAAGGTGATGTATCCAATGTTGTCACCGACGGCAGCATCTGTGTCCTTAAGCTCTAGTGGAGGCTCACGGTGGCTGAACAGCACCTGCGGGGCTGTGTGGCTGGCTCGCCGACCCTCTTTAAACTCCTATACAGACAACAGTGGAAGTCTTGCTTTGGAATTGGACCTTACTGCCATTGTGTCATTTCTGTAGTTCTACTTCTTGTGCAAAGATACATTTTTTACCTGATGCTAATTGTCTGCAGTAGAAAGTATGGCAGTTTGTATTAGTAAAATGTGATACATTTAGAGGCAAACTGCAGATTCAGTGGTGTGATTGCCATGAACAAAAGGAATTATTGAGACGGGATCATTGCAGATTAACACATGAAGTGTAAACTGTATAGGACTGATGGGTGCTGTTGCCTCGGTGGAGGTCAGAGTTCAGGTCTTGCCCTGTACCATAATACTTTTAGATTCTACTTTAAAAGAAACTCACAGCAAAGCAAACAACAACAAAAAATAGGCCCCATTATGTTCGCCTCACAAACCTGCATAAAGACTTTGCCAATGATGACATCATCATCATCCTTGAACACCGTGCTGAAAACCACAGTTACTCTGTCTTTCTTGGCCTCCACATACCTGACAAAGGAGACAAATCAAGTGAGAAAAACTGTCAGACCTTTCTCAGCTGAACAAAAATCTTACCTTCCTATACACCTTTAAACCCTTTAAACGTTGAAACGTTATGTAACTGGATCACCTGAATAATAAATACTGTATGGTGATTAAAAACACAATATTTCTTAAATTATTTTTAGTTTAATTTAGCATACGATATTATAAATTATATACATCTTAAAATGGGATAATACCTTGAAAATGCAAATGTAAATAAAAAATAAAGCATTAAATGCTGAACAAGCATATATAAAATTAAAATGCTAAATTACTACATTACTATATTCAGTGCCAAGCATTTTTATTAACTTGTCTAATATGCTGCCTTTGTAATACTGTATTATAATCAGATTAATGACCTGTCATTGAACAGTATTAGTCCTGCAGTGTTTTTTCTTTAAGACAAGAATGCATTGAAGCATCACAGTTGCCACAGCATGTGGTTTAACACACTTTTACTATTGCTCTCAATAGTGTTGTTGCAAGAGCTGGAAGAGATTTGTAGTTGCTCAAACCTATGGTTTGAACTGGTTATAGGCCGTCGCCTGCCTTTTCTACCATTGAAAAGTATAAATTTCTGTCTCTACATAAGACATTTAAAATAATTGACCTGTTAGGCAATACAATTCCTTCTGCTTCTAGACAAATAATCAAAAACTCTCCATCATACATACATGGTTTCATCCTCTCTGTAGTGGACAACGGCCCTACTTTCCCCTTCTTTTCCTTCCTCCTGGAACTTGAAGTACTTTTCAAAGACTGAGGCGAAACAGTTTCTTTTGAGCATTCCGGCTTGATGAACGACCTCATCTTTGTTGGCTGGTAGAGCATCAAGGTCATACAGGAGTGACACATTGTAGCCTGATGGATAGGAAAAAGTTGAAGCACAAAGACATTTTTAGGAGTAAATAAGCTGCATTTTAAAGGTGGAAATTCTTTATTATTATTGATAATAATAATAATCATGTGTGTCAGACTCTTACACAGACCTAAAGTTTATAAAGACAGGGAATATACAGTGAATAGTCTGAACTAGACTGCATACATGGACTGGTTTCTGAGAATCTATGTCTAAGTCCTCAGATCGTTTTTAAGATCACAAGTCTCATGGACGTACTTGATCACCAGTTTTATAAACTTTACATACACCTGAGGTGCTTGACTACGTTGTCTAAATAAAAGTCAAATAGTAACTTACCAGCTTCTGGTGAGACCAAGAAAACCCCATAGATTCTCTTCAGCAGCTATAATTTTCAAAAAGTACAATCCAGTGTTAGCAAAATGCACACTATTTACCCAACTTAATAAAGACATAAATGAGTGGTCTTAATTTAAAAACTGTAGAGATTTAATACAAATTGTACAGACACTATCAATAATACAATTAATGCATAGCACAATTTCACACAGGCCCTAATTTTATAATAAAATAAAGGACAGCTGGTTTTACAGACCCCCAGTGTTTTGATTGTAAAAAATAAATAAATAATGTATTTCCCAATAGATTGTAGGGCCGGTTCTTCAAAACAGAGATATGTAAACAAATGTGTTGTGCAACAGAGTCAGAAAAGGTGGTTTGAGAGGTAATTGATGGGGTCATTTTTACAACACCGTAATAATGAAAGGTATCCATTTACCCATAGTAAATACCTGCAGTTATGGAATGAAAAGACTTTTTTACTGTTTGTACGGAATATGCAAATCCAGTTGAGGAGTCAGAACTTATAGCATTCCACATTTTACAAATATTCCCAATATGGAAAGGTCTTGGAGGGCTGCCAACACATACATCTGCAGGCACACGCAGAGACACACTGACACACACACACACACACAGAGAGTCAGGACTTCCTTAACTGAGGTGAGACACACAAACTCACTTCCTGTTTCCACTCAAAGCCTCAGCAGCTGTTCTATTTCCTTAAATGGCGATTGTCATGGTAGCTTCAGTGTGTGTAAACTTTTTCATTGACTTAGATATAATATTTGACTCAGTAATATACCTCGTTTTGGTTACTTTTTTTCATCCCCTCTTTTTCAGTGTGTGTGAGTGGCAGTCTTACCTCATCAGCTCCATGTTCCTGGAGCTCCTTGTAAAACTTCAGGGAGATGCTAACCATCACCTTGGTCTTGTCCCCATTAGGATTAGAGATGTGGTACAATACGCCATCAAAATCTGATGAAGGAAAGAAGACAAACAATCTTACGTAATGTTTTTAGTCTCCACAGTGCAGTGGCAACAATGAAAACAACACATTTAATGTTTTTGTATAATATAAACTTGATGAATACATTAGCTGCGTTACAAGGCCAATTTATGTGAGATTAAAGGAAGAAGAACCCAACAGTGAGATTCCATCAGACAAGATAGTATGAGGCCAACAGCAATGTTGCAAAAGAAGACTTCTCTTTTGTGTTGAAATCAATGTTATGTAAAGTTTGGAAGCATGATCAAATGTGTAGAAAAATTGTTTCATTGGTATACTGTCTAACAAAGAACCTGATTACAGAAGATTCATTTATAATAATACATTTTGGGGTATTTTTACATGCTTAGACTTTCTTGAAAGAAATCTCATTTCTTTAACATCAACATGGCATATCCACTATCAGGGAAGCAACGAAGAAAGCAACGTCAATGCAAAAACAAATACCTTATTATTTATAAATTGTTTTCTAATAAGTAGAGCAGTTTTGTCATCAGACAAAAAGGAATGTGATCAGAGTGATGTAGAAGAGAGCAGCAGAACACGTAATTGTATCTCACCTGCAAATGTCACATCAACAGCTTCTGGTTTGTTTCTGCAAAAAGAAAAAAAAAGGTGAAAATGTAGAAAGAGGACACGTTTTATAAAATGAAACTGCATATTGAAACTCCCAGGCTATCAAAATAGCACAAAGAATTAGCTGCATGTACTTTGGCACAGTTTGTTGACAAAAAAAATGCATTATGGAATATTATGCATTATGAATTTGTATTCATTTAATTTTCCATTTAAACTTTTTTTTAATAATTTACCTATTTTCTTTTTATCATGTTATACTCAAGAGGTGTGATTTGCAAATCAATGGTGCTTGAAAGATAAAACTTGGCATTTGCCAAAATAAAATGAAAATCCCACATCTGGGGACGTCCGTATTTACAAGTAAAAACACTTTCAACTGCAACCCAAGATTTGAACCAGAATCTGGTCTTTTACACAGCCTCAGTCTGCTCAGACTTGATTCAGCATGACTACGGGAATGCGGAAGAGAGAGGGACCATCGTCGCCGCCCAGATGGGTGTGCAATGCACATAAAAACCTCATTTTGAGGAATGAAATCATGTTCTGGAATTTCCGTTTTTTTATTGACAGACGTAGCTGTGTGACAGACCTTTCAAGCAGTAAAACGTTGAATTTAAGTCGGAGCAAATGAATAATATTACATTGGTTCATAACATAATGGCCGCTAATTACAAACCCCGTGAACTGAACATCGCGATCGTGAGAACACAATGATGTATTTGCCAACAAATAGTTTTACTACAGTTTCAATCACAACGGGGAAATTGGTTCTCTGTGGTGACATTTTGGCACAGTGGCCCGAGGACTGACACACCCCAGCTTTAAGCCAAAGCGGGCATTGCGAACATGTTTTGGTCTGAGGTGGGGGTTTTTTCTACCTGCAAACATCACACAGCAACGTGGTGCAAATGCGTCAAGTGCTTTGTCAAAAGCGGGCGTTATTTTGAAGTATTGCTAAACATTAAGCTAAGTGGCGTTAGCAGCGCTAGCCAGATGTTTTCTCACCCGTTTGATGCTCCTTCGAACTTGAGCGTCAGCGTTTCTTCTATAATACGGTTATTAATTTCTAAGAGGATCATCGCAGCGGCGTGGGAGTGTCGAAGTAAGCAGAAATTGTCAAAAGAAGCTCGGCGCTACAACCGACCGCTGACGGTCACAAATTTTGGAATAATTTTCCTCCCTTCGCTGACAGCACAGCTTCCGTCCGTGCAACTTCCGCGTCTTTTACACTCAGGACCCCAACGAGAGGCAGCCGTGATATTGCCTGATATTTACTGGTTAAATATGTAGCATTAATCTAAACTTGTATTTAATATCTGATACGTTGCATTTATCCACCTACTCTACCACTATACTATTCCAACTGCCCTATTTTAAATGTAATTTGCCAAAAATAGTTAAGATTCAGTCCTAGGCTGCAGATCATAGCACGTTACCCACTACCATACCCATACATAATAAGTAATTAGGTAACCATTGATATCTGTAAACATTTGCTCTCCTTGGTTGATCCTATATAATATTGACTTGTGAGCTATGTTAAACTGTTAATTATAACAAAAGCAATCGATATCGGTCGTCCAGCCATCTATTAATTGTCACGGGGTTATGGTCAAAGTTGAAGGTCCTGCGTAACTTAAAAAAAAAAACATCTTCAGAGGCAGCAGTTGTAGAGGCTTGATTCGTTTGGCTAAAGCCACGTGACCAATGGCGTCAGAAGCTCCAGTCGCAACATCACTACTTCTGCATCCGAGTCGAAGTCTCAAAATACACGAATCATTGGTTAGGGTTCATAGTGCGTTTCAGTGGTGAGTTCGTTAGAGGGACAGTAAAATGATCTACGCACTTCCGTTAAAATAATCGATCATTATGGCCAACCGAAATTTAATGAAGCTGTAAAACGTTTTGTCCAATGTATTGAAAATGTTCATAGTTCAATTCTGGTTTGCAGTTGTAGAGTCAAGATTCAAGCTGACACCAGATGTCATCAACGAGCTTGAAATACTTGGAGTACTGAATGCATTACGGTTATGGGGTCAGCTAAACACACAGGACGAGTTTAAACCAGCCATTTTTTAACATCCAGTCTCACCTATAATTAGCAGTAATGGATGGCACATATAGAATATGTTAAAAATGAAATCTGATTAATCAGATTCATGATTTTTGTGTCTAGGCTAAAAGCTCATTAGTATGTTATTTAATGGTGCACATATAATTGTATTTTCAGCACTTCTATTCCATTGTGTTTATTTTGTATTTTCAGCACTTCTATTCCATTGTTATTTGTTTTAGTTTTAAATAACATTAGAATGCCCATTTTTAAAATTGTTGATTGATAGATGTATGTAGGTGAGTGAGAGACACATCACTCACCTACACTGTTCTAATAGAAGCACAGAGAAGTGTGTAGGACTGCAACCCTGTGATGTGGATCTTATCTCTGGACTATCAAGGAAAAACCTACACTATGGGAGCAGTACCGTACGGCTGTGAGAAGTTTAGGCCTGTACAGTGGCTGTCAAACATCAGGCCAGCGAATGAAAACCCTGAGGTAAATTGTAGTAAAGTGCACTTTTAAATGCAAAGACTCCTTAGCAGAATGGTTGTAAAAGGCTTGCACCTGGCTTTAATTCATCTCTCCCTTGCTGTTCCCTTATGGTGGTTGCTTCCGTTTGGAGGTAGCTCACCTGCCGTTTTGTTCTTCTGTTCTGCTGCTTTGTTGTTTGCCTGCTGTTGGTATATTTCTCCCTGCCTTGTCCTTTGATTTAGATTGTTCTGTTTGATTTGATCTGCTTTACATATTTCTGTTCCTGTGTTGCTTTATTTCTGTACATATTTAGATACTGTGTTTGACTTCTGGTTGGTTAAACTAGATGGTTGGATTTTGTTATATTGGTTTTCCTTAAGTTTGAATAAAGTTTCTCTTTATTTCCAGTGCAGCTGTGTGTTGAATGGAGGGAGACGAGACACCGTGGTGAGGACCCCACAACACTTACATGTGACCAGGAGCACTGGGGCATATTAATGCATGTTTGTTATGAGGGTTTTGTGAGTACCTAAATTGAGTGAGAAGAAGCACTCATTGCACTTAGTCTGCTTTCCCACTAGAGGCCCCTGTCCACCAATTCAAGTGTTGACTACGAGGGCAGTATTCAGTAGAATCTGAAATTTTAAGCACTTTGTTTTGAAGTAACTTCATTAATTACGATGTGACCCAGTTGCTTCTTTAATTTAAATCACTTGACTACTTTTGTTCTGTGACACAGACTCCTGGGGGATATTGTTCACTTCTTTTTTCTTTTTTTTTCCTCCCCTGATTATTTACACCAAAGTTAAACTCCCACTCTGTGCCTTACTAGGTTAAAATATACTAAATGGCGTAATTGAATGATTTAATTTACTTATGTAATTTTTTGTTTTATAGAGTGATTCAAAATGAATGTATGAATGGTGGGAATTATGTGGATTCACTAACTAATGGGTAAATGCAGTGTACTTGGTAAGAGTGTGGTTTTCCAGTTTTCTAAAATTGTCCCTGTACAAAACAGCCTTTTCTTTTATAAACAATGTGAAACGTGAAACTGGAGGCGGTGCATCTGAAAATCCGCCTCACTGACTTACACACATGAGCAGGGTTTGCCAGTGTGTGTTTGTGTGACAGCATGGGTGCACTTGGGCTTTCCTTGTGACTGCTCTAGTCAGCAGCTGAAGTCCTGTTGCAGAATGGACCGGCTTATCGTCCGTGGTATTCCGGTCTGGCAGAACATGTGGCTAACTTTGAATGTTTTGTTTTGTGTTTTTTCATGTATACACTAGGTGTGTGTACAAGTAGTAGTCACACAAATACCTACAACAGCATGGCCCTGAACCGAATGTCTCAACTATGTCAGGATATCACCAGACTGTGGCTGCAGCTGAAGATGATAACAGGTACAGTGCATGATTGTTTGTTAGGTGTTGATGATATTGTAAATGTGTACTATATAATGTTTTTTTGTTTTTGATGATGATAACTTTATTAATGACACAGTGTTGTCATATTATTAAGATACTGGGGTACAACCTGGCCACTGTACATTACAGACAAACATCCATGGATACACAGATCGGGTCATGTTCATGTGCTAGATAGAGCAAATGGGTGTAGGATGACAGCTACAACTAGACTTATGAGACTGAGAAAAATAGTGTTCCTCATCTGATCTTTGTAGGTATAGAAAAAAAATATAGTAAAATATAATAATTAAATATAATATAGTAACTATATTATATTTAATTATATGAACTATATGAAGTTAGAGGTTCCCCCAGTAAACAATCTACAGCTGCACCTACATTAACTGCTGTCACTTAGCTGCCAGTGCTATGATTGTTTCTATGAATTAAATCTAGATATATTCAAATCGTCCTAATGACTAGATCAAGTTTCTAAATATATAAATATTTGGTGTTTGCTGTGTGTTTTTAGCAGTATACCTTGCAACTTTGGTTGAAAATAATTATTTACATTTAAAATGTTGACATTGTAGTGGTATTTTGAGGTTTTCTTTTAAATAGATAAAACGTGTAAATAAGTGTGAAAATCCACTGTCAACAGTTTGGACACATCTCATTTAAATGTTCTTCTTTATTTTCATGATAATTGCATCATGCAGCAGGTCCATGGTTTTCTTGTCTTTAACTGTTTTGGTTAGGGTATTTTTGATGGAGCAAAGAATGTGGAGTGGTCCTTGTGATGGACATCTTTCCATGACATTCAGCCTCTCTCCTTTTCTTTGCAATTTTCTTATTGGCAGCATTATTATTATGTCCACCTTTTTTGGCCACATCTGTGGTGAGTTTGTCCTTCAACCTGTCAAGTAGGGCATCAAACTGGCCAGTGTGATACCAAACCTGTCTGTCATCCTCTGCCACATCGTCTCTACTGTGTAACTGCTTCTGCTCACCTCCAATCCACCCAGTATATTCAGTATACAGCTTTACCCCACTCACTCTTTGCCAGAGTGTTTTCATTCTCATGCCCACTGTCCAGCACTTTCCTGACTGCCTCCCCTGATATCGACCCAACTGTCCTTCGACCTTAGCTTTGTCTCTGCCTTGGTAAAACTACCAGCCTTCTACCTCTGACTACATCTACATGTAGTGACCTTGTAGTGTACCCTTGTTACCGACTCTCTCACACGCTCTGGACCCTCTCACCTGAACCACTAAACCTACAGTGAAGTTGCTTGATTTGAAGTTATAGTACAATCTGGCCAAGTACTGTATGGACCCGGCATCTAACCCCAAACCACTCGCCACAAGGCAATCAAGGGCAACAGCGTGAAGCTAGCAGCATTAACCAGTGGGACGCAACAGCTAGCAGCCTGTTTCACCCAGATTTCTTCATCCACCATGTCTGCCCTCTCCTTTGAAGCATCAGCTTCTGCACCTGGGTCAGCCTCTTTACTGTCCAGAGATGCTCCTGAACCCCTGGTGGGAACCCATGAGCATTACAACGGCGAGAAGGTAGCCTTTGTCATCAGCTGCCTGATGGAAAGAGTTCCAGTAGGGGGAGCTGGTCTCCAGCCTGTGCCTCCTTTGACCTATTTGTTGCCGACCTTCACAAGGTTTTCTGGTTTGAGAATTGGTTCAGAGTCAGCATGGAGGACTAAATGGTGAGTGGACGGTGGCAGATTACCCCATTGATTTTGGGACCAGAGCCAGTCAAAGTCGTTGGAACAGCTGTGCCCTCTGTGACGCCTTCCTCCATGGTATGGCCGACTATATTAAGGATGAACTGGTTTCCCATGAAACACCCCACCTTGGTGGGTGGGTGGGATTGGTGCTCAAGTACTGACCAAAAGCGCCATCCCTGTGCCTTCTTCTCCCGTCACCTGTCTCCTGCTGAGAGAAACTATGACATTGGCAACAGGGAATTGTTGGCTTTCACTTCCTACACTTTGTTGAACAGTCTGTATTAAAATGATCAACACATCCAGATTAAGGCCTTTAAAAAGCCGTCACAAAATTGAAATCCATTTCTTGTACACAGTGTAAGTTGTACTGTATCTATTTTCAAATGTAGAATTAGGTGGAGAACACATGCAGGCTGCTGAACAAATGTCTTACACTCCTTGGAACGTTGGTTAGATATGAAACGTAGCCAGTAGTTGTTGTGCCTTTTGGGGGTAATTTATTTGTAAATCTGACTCTGAAGGAGTCAGTCATGAACCCCACTGCATGCCACTGGTACCTGGTATTGTTGACCAGAGTACACCTTCTTGGAAAGGGAGTCGTCAGCCTCATCTGAAGAAGACGGCAGCTGCAGACAGATCTGCTGTCTTCTGACTCTTTCTGTCAAATGGGAGTTTATTCTCCCAACTGTCTCCTAAGTGCCTGCTCAATGTGTCATCTAGGCTTATACATGTTCATAATGAGTGAAGAGCTATTATTAACAAATGGCTAAATGCTGTAGTTCAACTCTTTTATACAGCTGAAAAAGACAACGACTCCAGTTCATCTTAAATATCATCATTTTAAACTGACTGTTAACAAACTCCTTTTAAATTTTGTTTATTACACTCATTAACGTTTCTGAAAAATAATTTTCAGCTTAAATATTATGGTCTGTTTAAAAGCCATTCATGATGCCAGTATTGATAACAAAAAAAAAAAAATCAAAATATCAAATATCAATTAAACTCAAAATATAACTCAAGGTTATAATTTTTTTTATTAAATGAAAACATCATTCTTTATATTTGAGGCAGTTTGGTTTGTCATGTTGTACAGTTTTCAAACTGTTGTTCTGTTGTACTGATCTGCAGCATCCAAAGTATCAGCTTGCACCAGGCCAACACATTAAAAATGCAGGCATGGGTAAAGAAAACCTGTCTGGCATTCAGTCCTACTGAGAAAGGCAAGGGATTATTTCTGTTTTCCAAACTCCTTGTTATCACTCTTTCTAACTCCCACTCTTCTGATTGTAATCGTTTGAATCCCGGTTAGCTACCACCGAGACATGAGCTATTTGGGATTCACAAAATAAATTATAACATAACCACAGCAGATTTAAAATAGAAGGTAGAAAGAAAACAAAACAACTTTCTCTAAAACATTTTTTTAAAAACTTTATTTTTTGGTATTTTAACATAAGAAAGACTTCTGTAGCACTTTAGGAGCTGAAAGAGCTGGATCCTTTTAGTGAGACGGGCCACAAGAGCCAGCTCTCTTGAAAGAGCCAAAGTTCCCATAATAATGTCAGCTGTTACAGCTCCAAAGGGCCGACCAATTTCATATGAAACCCTATGGTTTTAGAATTTGATGTCACTTCAGATTATATACAAGTCAAGGCAGGTGAGTGGATCCTTTTGGCGATACAGTGTATATTTACTTCCCCAACTTGTGTTAAATTGTCTTCGTGGATATTATGAATTTAATTGCTGATGTTTTAAAATTGGTGGAAAAGTCATAGGATAGGAGTGGGAGACAACATCATTTGAAGTTGTCTAGCTTTTACTAACTCTTCATTTCCATAGTGTTGATATGGTACCTTACAGTGAGTTAGGGAGTGTGTCAAATAAGACAGATTCTTTTTTTAAGTGGGTTAGTCCCTTATTTAGGTCCATAAAAATTGATGAAGAAATGTTAGGAAGTGTGGTCGATGTTTGGGGGAAGGGTGCAAGAAGACAGGGTAAATTCCTGCCGTGCACCCCATAATCACTGTTTGTGCTTGCTGCACTGACCTACTTCCACACTTGTTAATCTGAGTGTGTGTGTGTGTGTGAGAGAGTGAGAGAGCTTGCACTTGCACTTGCAGTTTTATTTCATTCATTCATTCCACAGTGGACAAAGGGGGGTGTGGGGTGGGCGTTTAAGTGTTTCATTAGAGCCGCCAGAATGTCTAATGAGTTTGGAAGTCTGGTACACATCCTATGTGTCAATGGACCATTAACATGGTGTATGAGAATCAACACCTGAGGCGTTGATTGAGAGGACACAGTTAAAAACTTAACACTGTGCTTAACATTACATTCTGTTTTATGAAGAAAAACTAAAAGAAAAATACTTTTACTTTTGCTCCAGGATGTCAACCAAAGATATGATGGGGACATGCAGGAAAAGACAATGTAAAAAAACAGGATGATTTTTTGGGTTTGTTAGGATCAGTGTTTGCCAACACTGTACATATTTTACATTGGAAAAATCTCATTAAAAGTTTATGTAATGAAGTACGCTCTTTTAGTTTCAATGTACTCTTAATTTAGTTACTCTGTGTCAAACCTGGGTCTTTTTAACAAAACACAACACCATTACACTTGGAGCAATTGAAGAATGAAACACAGAGATCTTCAATGGCTCTGAGTAGCTGTCAGTTGTTTTCACCGTCTGCTGCCTCCTAATGGAAAATGATTAGATTGCGCTGCCTGTCTCTGATGCATTTGCTGAATTACATAATAATATTACAAATGATTTCCAGTAAATAATAGTATTCAGACCAATAAAGTGAAATTGAATAATAATTGTATATAATTTTATATATAGGAATATATATTATTATTATTATAGGAATTGCTATAGTCGGACACTCATACACAGAAATGTGACACCATACATGTTTTATTTTTGTTTTTATGTTTTATTCACAATTAAAAAACACTAAGTAAACACAGGTGTGTGGAGTATGTTCTGAAGATGAAACTCGTCAACAAAGACGGCAAACATTGTAATTGATTGCATTGCTGTACTTTTTTATTCAGTTACACATGATGTAAAAGAACTAGAAGAAGACTGCTTGATCTATAAATATTTTAAGTGTTAAATGTGTCGAGATAATATTATTTGTCTTTGCATAACAAAAATATTTTACCAGTTGCTTAAAAATAACCTTGATTAATATCAGTTAACTGTTCATAAATAAGTTAATAAGTGAAACTAAGAAATACTGTATATGTCCCTGTTTCTCTTCAGATGACATCATGCAGAGGGAAGAAGGTCATCTGAGTGCAGCAGAAATTGGCTCTGAACTCCATAAACAGTTTGCCATCCTACCAGGTGTGTTTTTTTTTTCTTTTCTCTCTTTCTTTAATGTAACGTTGGTGATCAGTAGGACTGGGTTGGTAGATTGGCAGATACTAGAAAAGTCTTTATCAAAGATACTCTATTGAATACCAAGTTATTATCACTATTGATGCAGTTAGTAGGAATATGTTTTCCCAGTTTCACTGTGACTCATAAGATGTCTCCCATGTCTTCTGTCTCCCATGTCTTCTGTCTCCCATGCCTTCTTTCTCCCAAGGGGTTCGTGGTTTAAACGGCTGCCCCATCCTCATCTTCCCAGAATTTCCAGCCTTCAACAATCTGGAGGAGGAGGAGTTAAAAAACGTCCTCATCTATCTGACCAGTTTATCCAGGTGAACATCCCACATCTGAGTGCCCTGTCCCTTCACACCTGTGAATCCCAAACACTGTGTTGTGGCACATTAATGTTCTGACAGAGATCATCAGATATACGGTGGGAAATGATCTATTTCTTCAAAACCATTATTTATTTACTGCTAATAATTTGTCTTTGTTTGTGGAGAAAGACAAAGCAATGAAACACTGGTCCACTAGGTGGCAGCAGATTGTTAATAAAAACTAAAAAGAAACTTATGGCAGATAGATATGTGTACTTTATGATCCCCAGCTGGGAAATTACAGATTGAATTAAAACTACAGTTAATCACACACAGACATACACAAAGTTCAACTGTGTCGAATCAGTTCCTGTGAGCATGTCAACGTGGTGTTCAACTAAACAGGCACAGGTTTCACATTGAAGTAAATTGTGAGTAAACTGAAACAAGAAAACTGTAAAACTTTGTTGGTGGTGAAACTTGGACTTTGTAATACTGTAATGTTAAATGTGGCACAAAGGAAGGTTGAAATTGCTGCATTAGACAACCATCAGAGTAGAGATGAGAACAGTACCGTATGTGGCCAGCAGAGTTCAGCAGAGCACAAGGGAAAGCACAGTGAAGCGTCACAAACGAAGTCAATTTTACGCCAAGGTGATTGAAAAGTAAAATAACGATTTAAATTGTATACATTTTGAAACTATAGCTTCCACCTAGAGAAATTGTTTAATAAATACAAACGTACTTTGCTTTTCTTTCTTTTCAGTGTTTTACTTATTATTCACCTTCTCACTGTGCTGTTTTCCCCTCTTTTCCCTATTGGCTGCACCCCTTAATCTAAAGAACTGAAATATTAAAAAAGAAAGGGATGGGATTGAGATATTTTTACTTCAGCAGACTTGAATCTCTCTCTCTCTCTCTCTCTCCCTCCCCCTCCCTCTCCCTCTCTCTGTGTTTTTTATTTGTATAGCCCAGTTCATAGTTTAATTGTCAGCGTTATGTTTTTTCCCTCTCTTTCACACCAACCCTTTCTCCATTTCTTCTTCATCGCCGTCATCCTCCCACCTGCCTTCACCCACCGCATACAGCCTTCTGTCAGTCAGCTGCACCCTGAGCTCTGATTGGCTGTGAAGGAAAAGAAGAGGAGGAGGCGCGGCAAGGAACATAAGTGGATGAGGGAGGGAAGCAAAGGATGGTGGAGGAGGAGAGTAAGGCGAACATAAGGAGGAGGGACATGATGCTGTCCAGGGATGAGGATAGCTGAAATCTGTGAGCCCAGATTAGATGACTGCGGATTGAATAACCGAGGCCGAACCGAAAATGTCAGAATTTGGATGAATTGGATTTGGGAAGAATTGGATTGGATTACTGTTGGATATTAATATAAGGATACTCTGATTTTTTATTTTTATTTTTAGTTCTGCCTTGGCATCAGATTTTCTTGTTTCCACCATTTTATCTGTTTTACAACAGCGATGGCACTGAGGACTGGCTGCCACAGCTTTCACTGGGTACCATTTACACACACACACGCACACACACACACGGTGCTGCACATAGCATTGTCAGCAGAATAAAATCCAAGATTTTAAACCACTTGGTCCAGAGACACGTTAACCTTGGTTGTCATCGATGTCCCGACCGTCTGTCATTACCATCAGTGATGATGATGAATAGTGGATGAATGTCCGGAGACAAGGTTGCATTCTTTTAATGTCTCTCCGTCTCCTCCGCTCTCTCCTCTCCCTCCTGCAGTGTTGCGGCATCTACAGTAGGTTTCATCCTTGTCATCGATAGACGTCTGGACCGGTGGGCCGCTGTCAGAGCCACTCTGCTCCGAATCGCAGTAAGAGCCGATGTGTCAGTGAGTGTGACTGTGAAGGACAGACGGACCGACAAACACGGCTGTGCTGCGTTTATTGAGACGTTTATTTAAAACCGTACATTTCATTTGACCAGATTTGACACTGCGAGTTGTTAAACTCAGAAATCAGTTGACTGAACATTTATAGTTGTTGTTGGCAACAACCAAATAATAATAAACAGTGGACAGGAGGGTCTGACAGTTTCTTTTAGGAAAGTATAAAAAGGCAAATGTTGTACAGTGTTTGTTCTTTAGCAACATTTCATTGGCCATGTACTTTTACAGTAGATGTGTTTTTCTTAATAATGGAGCAGAATACAATTAAAAAGGCATTCTTTTTCATTTTATTTTGAATGCCTTTAAAATGACTTGACTTTTTACAATAAAAAATAATCAGTATGTGGCAGGCCTGGAGAAAAAACTGATTTAAGATGTCAACCAACCAGATGGTTGACATGTGTGTGGTCTAACCCTGTAGCAGAGTTTAATCTTGTTATAATCATGATTTGATTTATCTAAATAATTACCATTAAGCTATTATTACACACTCCTCCCAGACACATCCTATATTGCATATCATTTAAAGATGGACATTGTGTGCAGTAGCTGAGGTATAAAAACTCCTGTGACTATAAAATGTCAAAACCTTCCAAAATAATAGGATGTCTTTATCAGAGACTTTTAAGAGTTTTATACAATTAACAGAAAAACACTTGTCTTCTTTAGACAGTTCACTCCAGTGCATCTTGCCTTAAGTTGTTACATTGAAATGTAGGAGTTACAAACCGTCTCAGCACCTGCTGACTGAACAACCCTGTAACTTTTTGTCTGTTCCAGGTCTCATTTCCAGGAAACTTGCACTTGGTTCTGGTGTTGCGTCCCACCGCTCTGTTTGAACGAACTCTTTCAGACTTCCTGTTCAGATTTTACAAGGATGAATTCAAAATGAAGGTGCCTGTAGAGCTGTGTTTGTGCTTTATGTGTTTTATGTGTTGGTGTTGAACACATGCATTTCAGTATATAATATACAGTGTTGTGAACAATGATATTGGTCTCCAGAGTTGTTGCAGTTCAGAGCCTTCGAAGGCTGTTTATGTGTACAGTTGTTAAACTGCTAATATAAATATCTTCAATCAGGTGTTGATGCTAAGTTCGGTGACCGAGCTCCATGCCTACATTGACCCAGGACAGTTGACCACTGAACTGGGAGGGACACAGAAATACTGTCATGACAGCTGGATCTCACACCGCACTGTATGTACACAAAAACACAAGATAACCTTACAGACATGACTGTCTGATACTTGGTTACTATTACTATTACTATTACTAATACTATTGTTATTGGGCGTCCAGTTGTAAAGGACAGGAAATCTCTACTCAAAACTCCTGATGTGCATTTCCCTCTGTGTTATAAAACAGATTAACAAATATATTGTTACACAGACATAAGTGTTTTCTGTCTGATCTCTCACATCTCTCCATTGTTCTTACTGTTTTCTCTGGTTCCTGGTGATAAAAGTATCTGTGTCGTTAGTTGCCCACCCCTTGTGTCTATACGTGTCATGTCCTCCCTTCCATCATGGTTGCCAAGTCCTCTTGTTATGACTTATGACTTTGTGAATTTGTTTCAAAATACTGATACCTACAGGCTACCAATTCTTTATTTCAAACTCTTTAAAAAATATTCAAAAATGATTCTTCACTGCTCTACCCTGTATCTGAGTCAGATAGTGACTGGACAGTAGGGGCAGCGTTTACCCATTACTACTGCTAATGTCAAGCTTACGAAGACCAAAGAAGAGAACTGTCTGTTAGACACCAGACCAATAAACATGTACATGTACAAATGTTATTATTACTATTTTTTTTTGTGTGTTCCCTCTTCACAGGCTATCGAGGCCTTTGCTCTCATGGTAAAAACCACTGGTCAGACTCTGCAGGCATTTGGCACCCAGCTTGCAGAGACTGAATTACCCAACGATGCAGAGGCCACCCAGTGTCTGTTGCACTCACACACACTGAAAAAGGATGAAATTAAGGTGAGAGAGTTCTTTCTACTGCCCTGAACAAAAGCTCAAAGCATCTCAAGTTTTATGGCTAAGACCTTGTTTTTATTTGAACCCCAGGAGGACCTGCAGGTGGCACTGTGCCAAGGGCGACGTTTGTTGGAGTACATCAACGAGCCTTTACAGACAGACCCTGAATATAGCATGACCCATGATGAGCTAGAGAACCTTGCTACTGTGCAGAGGTAAATAAAAAGAAGTAGATGTATATATGCATCCAAAAAGATGAAGAGTAATGAAATATTTCAGTACATATGTACTCATTTTGTATTACATTTTGTCCCCCATCTCTTGCTCTTCTCAGACTTCTTGGTCAGCTGGATGAAACAGAGACTGCTTTCGATGATTTCTGGGAACACCACTGCACCAAAATGGAACAGTGTTTGCAGCTGCGTCACTTTGAGCAGCACTTCCGTGAAGTGAGTTGATGTGTTCAGAAGCTGCCATCCAGGGTTGATCAGAGTTGCTGGACCAACAGGTGTTTAACCTCATGCATGCTCGCAGGTGTGTGCCCAGCTAAATGTGATGCTGGAGAAGTTGTCAAGTTTCTCGGCGGTCAGTGTGAGCCCTCCCCATGCACAGCACATCCTGCAAGAGCTCAGCGGCCACGAAGACAAGGCTCGTGTAAGAGACACACACAACACTGATTCATCTGGCAGCACATCAAATATTTATTGTCATTTTAAGACTCATCCATGCATTTTATAAACTCTTATAATGGTCCAGGGACAACTATTTACAAGCTGTTTCTTTTCTATTTTAAAACCCCGGGGACATGTTCACTGTGAATGTGATTTCTTTATGCATTATGATGTGGAGCAAATCATTTTGTGTATTAATTTAAAGAGTACAGATATCTCTTATAATTACAAGAGAAATTAAAAGAACTTTTGCAGCAATGTTGTTATTTGACAAATTATTTATCCTTATGCTATAGATCAGTGGTTCTCTGTACCACCTGAGAAAACCCTGATCTCTCTGAGTCCCACCATGATGACCAACATTAGAATACAGCAGCAGAGGCCTTCACTGTTAGCTTCCACCACAGGAGAGAGGTTTAGACAGATATTAAGGTTTAAATGTTGTATTAATTGTGCATGGTATGTTTCAGATTTATTCAACTGAAAATGTAAACTGCTATAGAGTAAAGCATTTTTAAAAAATACATTTAAATCATCAATACATGTAGCTTTTTGTTCTCCATTTGTATCTCCATTATTCATTCATTCATCCATTCATCTTCCATGGCCTAATCCACCACAGTCATGGGGGGAGCTGAAGCTAATGCCAGTCGTCAGATGAGGGTGGAGTACATCAGTCAATCTGTTTTGAGTCACTAAGATGTATGAATAAAATGCAGAAAAACATCTTGATTAAAAACAGCAAGACTGAGTGAAGATGGACAGATTGGTGGAATGCACCAGCAAAGCTGAGGCACATGAAAGGAGACTGTTGACTGATGGTTCTGACTCTGAGGCATTAGCCTCTGTTACACTCTCTACATAATGAAAGGACATCTGTGGTGTGTTTTAACAGGAAGTCCTGGACCGAGCCGTATCTCTGGCCTGTGAAGGAGACAGGCTGATAGAAAACTTGCACTATGCTGAGGATTCCATCAGGCCTAAGTGCAGTGAGCTGAGAGGAGTGTGTGAGGAGATAAGTACCACTCTGGTTAACAAGAAGAACCTCATCCTCAGAGCTTTGGAGCTTCACAACGCTCTGGAAAAGGTATCAATCACGACAGAGTGTGACACTCCAACATTTAGATTCAGCACTTTTCATTAGTAGGTCAGATACGACAAGACTAGATAAGACTTTATTCATCCCATGGTTGTTACAGCAGGAAGTTAGATATAAGGAAGGTGAACTCAGCTCACAGCTCACCACTGCACACAACCAAATGTGACCTCTGCTTTTAACCCATCACCGGGGACGGAGCCATGCTCAGAGCACCTCAGTGGTAACTTGGCAGCTGGTGGACTCAAACCTGTAGCCTTCTGCACCCAAGTCCACTTCCTTAACTACTAAGCCACCACGGCCCCAAATATACTGTTAACCTTGTAGCTGTGGGATTTGAACCTGAAACCTTCTGGACTGCCAACACTGCCACGAAATACACGTTACATATGAAATATACATGTTACATATACAAATATACATGTTAATAGAACAAATAATAATAAAAAAATGAACACATTATGAAATAAACATTTTAGGTAACAAGTCTTTCGTGCTCTCTCACATGCATTCGACAGTCTAATGGCTGATGTGAGGAAAGAGGTGCAGACCACTACCATAGTGTAGTGTAGTGTGGGTGAGGGATCCTTCTCAGCCACATTATCCAGAAGGTCCAGGTGTCAGTTTAGGACAGAGTTGGTAAATCTGCTCCTTCAATACAGATGATGCAGATGCCACCACTGAGGCAGAGACAGTTCTGTGCCGGACAAGTGTAGGATATTTATAAATGAAATAACTTTGTCTTAAATTGTTTACTCTTTGTCTTCAGTCATTACAGTGGTGTGAGGATGGCATCTTCCTGCTGGCCAGCCAACCAGTGGATCGCTGCCAGTCTCAGGATGGAGCAGAAGCAGCTCTGCAAGAACTGGAGAGATACCTTGACACAGCACCTCTACACATTCTCACTGAATGCAGCGCCATCTGCTCTCAGTATGAAGCAGTGCTCACAGATCACCTCAGGGTCAGTGGCAACCAAGACTTGTTTCAACTTGAGGTCAAATGTCCTAAGTTTTCAAATCAATACAAAATGAAGGTCTTATACACAACAGAAAGTTAGATACAGTTAACACTGTATTATGCGATAGACTGTAACTATGTTGTAAATATCCTAAGTTGGTATGACAAAGTGACACCAAACGTTGTGTTCTAAATCTGTGTGTGTTTGCTCTACTTCAGAACCAGGTTGAGAGGGTGTTTCAGAAGCAGACCTCTGTCCAGGAGATGTTCGAGAGGAGACACATGAGTTTGAAGAAACTCGCTGCCAAACAGACTAGGCCAGTGCAGCCAGTGGCACCGCGACCTGAAGTGAAGTCATCACACTCATCTCCCAGTAAGTCTTGACCCATAAGTAAAGTGATTTTCGCTTAGAGCTCCCAATATCATAGTGTAGCAGTGCTAAGATAACCCGACTGTACTTCCCTGCCTTTAAGATCTGCAGAGAAAAGAGAGGAGACACTCTACTGACAGTCCAGTCTGCAAAAAGGTATGGCTACAGTTTGCCACAATTACTGAGTCCCGATGTTGATTTGTCAAAGTTAGAAAAGAATGACGACGTGAATTAAAATCTCTACTTTATAAATGCTGTTATAATGATGTTTCAGGTAGAGCCTACGATACACGACCACGGCACCAGGCATGCCTCTCTCTCAGGAGAAGAAGAAAATCTGGCAGTGCTTCGACGGTAAGAAAGTCATTTCTATGTACATTTTTTTATTTGACTAGTTACACGTGAATTTTCGATATTTATAACGTACCAGTAAGCTCAGACTGTGGCTTCTTCTCTGAGGCTTTAACAGATGTGGCACAACAACATTTAAACAAAGCATACTTCATGTTACTGCTGAGGTATGGAGAACAAATGTGATTGACAAATATGTTTGTAATTCTAAAAAAGCGGTTAATTATTGTTAAACAATAACTTAAAAATATGAAAGTAAAATACAGGTACAGAAATTTGTTAAACAATAACTTAAAAATATGAAAATAAAGTAAAATACAGGTACAGAAATACAGTCTAGAGGGTTTGACGCTCTCCATCAGACTTTTAAGCTTTTGATGTTTCTTAGATTTTAATGTTTTCATGTCGAGTTTCATAATAGACGTCCCAATAACAAACTAAATATCGTCTTTTGTTGATTACAAAATATTATTACTTCTCCATCTTATGACACTCTCTTCATTGTCTGCAGTTTGTTGTGTACCATCTCTGATTTAACTTTTGAACGTAACTCACATTGCTAGAAGTCGTAACTAATTTAAGCCCATTTTCTGGGATTTAGATGGGCATGCCTCCACACTTACATGCCAGTGTGGCTGGTTAGCCAGCATTTTTTACTAGCTAAACAATATCAGTTAGTCGCCACTGGTGATTGGTGACCACTAATCCTGAACCCTGTGTGCAGGGTCGTAAGAGTCGTAGTCATATTCACAAAACTACAGAAAGATGCCTGACAGTTGTTCCTGACTCACTCATTAACTCTGGGGTTCATTGTGTATTTGTGTGTGTTTTCCAGTCATGTAATGAACGAACTGCTGGAAACAGAGAGAGCATATGTGGAGGAGTTACTGTGCGTGCTGGAGGTGAGTGTCACCAGTGTCAACTCGTGCTAATTGTGAGTCAACATAAGCCCAACACCAACACTGCAGCTGTTTGTATTGTGCTGATACCACGTGTGTAATGTGTAACTGCAGGGCTATGCAGCAGAGCTGGACAACCCTGCTTTGGCTCACCTCGTCCCCAGCATCCTGCTCAGCAAGAAAGACATCTTGTTTGGCAACATGTCTGAGATCTACCAGTTTCATAAGAGGTTTGTGAAGAATATAGAAGTTCAGATTGTTGGTGTCGATGTAATGAGCCATTTACAGTGCAACTAACATAAAACATCTTTATATGTTGCCCACACATGCCCAGTCGAGTCACTATATCTGTAGCTAACTTCAATGTATTTGTGTATATATGAAATGTTGATTAAAAGTTTAAATTTGTACCTTGGATTTATACATGATAATGGGAAAAAGTTCTTTTCATCTCATATCCAACTTCACAATTAGTTTTTCTATGTCTCCAGGACATTTCTGAGAGATTTGGAAGCGTACACTGATTGTCCAGAACTGGTTGGACGCTGCTTTTTAGAACGGGTGAGCTTCAATCAGAAAATACAGCTTTCTTTTGTCGTGTTTTTGTGTGTAGGCATTTAAAGCAGACGAAAAATAATTAAAAAAAAAAAACTGTCCGATCCGCCTAGTGGTGAGAGGATAAAGTTTGTAACCAGAGGGCTGCAGGTTGATTGACAGTTATTGAAGTAAATCAGACCAGACCAGTTTGACCTCCAATAAGAGGAGATAAATGGTGATGTGCAGTGTTTCTGTAAAGATGTTCATGTTTATATATTCTGTTTTTTTAAGACATCAACTTTTTACAGTTTATGAGCTACACAAGACCAATTCAGTTGGTAATGGTATTGCAAAAAATGATCAATGTTGGTCATAATTCTTCTGGAACTAATTTTGTTAAAAGAAAATTGTGATTTAAGTCTAGTTTTACACCCTTTGTGTGTACAGTATGTGTAATGACAAATAAGCTGATTCTTCTTAGCATACCTGTGGTAAATTCAGAGTGACCTTTTAGTCTAGGAGAAAAAAAATTAAAAAAACAGAGTTATGCCAAGAGTAAAGGAGAAATCCTTGTTTTTTTTTCAGATGGAGGACCTGCAGATCTATGAAGCCTACTGTCAGAACAAACCTCGCTCTGAGAGCCTGTGGAGACAGTGCTCTGACTGTGCCTTCTTCCAGGTCAGACTTATTACCTCTATTGTGTGCCTCAAGTAGCAGAATGGACTCTGTATATAACTTCACGTTGGTGTTTGCATTTAGGAGTGCCAGAAAAAGCTGGAGCATAAACTGGGTTTGGACTCCTACCTCCTTAAGCCTGTGCAAAGAATCACCAAGTACCAGCTGCTGCTCAAGGTCAGAGGTGGAGATTGTGAATTCTGAATAGGTGTGAAGACTTGGATAATCAGCTCCACTTTCTCCTCTGGTCGTGCAGGAGATGTTGAAGTACAGTAAAGGATGTGCTGGCTGTGATGACCTACAGGAAGCCCTGTCCTCCATCCTGGGGATCCTGAAGGCTGTGAATGACTCCATGCACCTCATCGCCATCACAGGATATGAGGTGAGAGAAAATGACACCAAAATGATCTACTGTATGTTAACCCACTGCAAAGACACTGCTGGTGTTTGTATCTATCAATCACGCAATTACCACTAACTCAGTGTTTCTCAAAGTGTGGGGCGGGTGCCACTGGTGGGGAATGGAGACGTGATTGGTTGGGTGTGACAAACAATTTTTTAAGGTTGATGATGGCACAACTGCACTTTTAGTTTCTTTTTTTGAACTGTGTGTTATTTGTTGTTTTTGATTTTTTTTATCATGAAATATAAAGTTACTTAGTGTTAGATCAGTAAATTTGAAATGTAATTTGTTAAGATTTTTGTTGGGGCGACAGGGGCAGGTGGGGCGAGAAACTCCACACGGAATTTTGAGAACCACTGCACTAACTTGAGTCATTAAAATAATAAAAGTCATTGATTGCAACCACAAATTCTGTGTCTTCACAACCTGTACAACATCAACGTAGAAAGCTGGCCTATAAATATGGAAAATGCTGTGGACCTTAACCTGAAACATGAAGCAAAAGTGATTTCTTTTTATTCACTTTGTCCAGGGGAATCTGTCAGAGCTGGGTCGTCTGCTGATGCAGGGTTCATTCAGCGTGTGGACGGAACACAAAAAGGGTCACGCAAAGGTCAAGGACCTGGCTCGCTTCAAGCCGATGCAGAGGCATCTGTTCCTGCATGAGAAAGCACTCCTGTTCTGTAAGAAGCGTGAAGAAAATGGCGAAGGCTACGAGAAAGCTCCCTCTTACAGTTTCAAACACTCCCTCAGTGTAAGCTCAGGCAAAGCATTTCAAAATGTGTTCTGAAACCAAAAAAAGATATTTAACATTTCTTCGTCTTTCTGTTCTCAGATGAGTGCTGTGGGTATTACAGAGAATGCTAAAGGAGACAACAAGAAGTTTGAGGTTTGGTGTAACTCCAGAGACGAGGTTTTCATAGTTCAGGTGAGGCTGACGAACGCAGTACAGTACATAAGTGGTCACCAATGTTAAAATCATGCATGTAGCTGTGGTGTGGGACAAATGAATATATTTTGGAGCTGAGATTGTGATCTATCTGGGGCTGTTAAATTTGTCATCTGTGTCAATTTGTAAAGATCACATTAAACATTTAAAAAAATGTTTAACTCTGTCAGAATGATGAGTACTGCATACTGCAATAACCCCACTCTCTGTCCACTTATCACTGCTGCAATGCACATTACAACATTGAGGATGTTGATTCATCTCAATGAATCCTGATTATTTACAACCATGATTGATCATGATGTCTCCACAGCTATGATTAATCAGATTAAACTTTAACCATTTGACAGCCCTAGATATGATATAAGTAATTATAGTATGGTCTATAATCTGTCCATGATCAAACATTCACTGCGTATATTATTTAACTGTGTAACCTAGGCCTCCACTCCAGAGATCAAAACAGCTTGGGTAAATGAAATTCGTAAAGTTCTGACACAGCAGCTCAAAGCATGCAAAGGTACACACACACACACACACACACAAACAAACAATTTACCATCCATGCATATACCCATATATAAACACATGTAGTGTTTTCATACCTTTAACTGTTATGTGTTTAGATGCAAGTCAACAGAAGAGCTTTGATTCTGTTTCTCCGACATTTACCAGCAACACTTCCTCCATATCATTCAGGTAGGTACTCTACAGCCGCCTAGAGGAGAACTCAAATCACATTCAGCTTCGCTGCAAATAAATCAGTGCTTTCAGACTTGCCCCCCCCCCCAAAAAAAAAATTCAGTTCAGACATTTAGAGAATGATCAGTAAACATATTCTCAACATTATTTTGTATTTATTTGTATGGTGCTATTCTGAAACCAGACTATATAGATGGTTGAAGTGTGTCCTTTCTTTAACTAGTGGAAGTCCCATTTAGATGTTCGACCAAAGAAATCAGTCTTGTAGCAAAGCCGTCTGTGACTCATTTTTTTGGTCCATCCCCTACATCGTCAATTTGTGATCTGATCTGATTCGTTATCCTTCCACTAAATCTTAGTTGGTATCTTCCCTCATTCTACTGTAACACTTTGTTTCTGTTGGTGTTTCTAGTCCGTTCCGTACACATGCCCAGAAAAACCAAAAGAAGCAGGATGAAAAGAAGGCAGAGCCAAATCTGATCTCATTTGCAAAAACCTCATCCTTGCCAAAAAACAAAGGTGACAGTTTTTTTTGAGTAACTCTTGATCCCCACTCACGACAAGAAACGTTCTAATCTAAATTCTTCATTCATTTATTCATAAATCCCCCTTCCTTTTTCATTCCCTTGTGTATCATGATCTAAATACCACAACATCACTCTCCCTTCCACCTGCACCAATTCAATCAATTTCTTCTAGATGAACAAGTGACCAGTCCAACCACTGACAGATCATCAGTGAATAAAAAGCGTTTTACATTGCAGGGCTTCAGCAATATCAAGAATCCAAAAGGTAAAAGGGGCTTAAACTCCATCAAGATCTGGTTTCCCTCCATAATGCACATATAAAAAAGTTGGTATTACGCAATACATCCTCCAATTTTGCATATTGTCATATAGTAGGCGCTGTTTATTACTGTGAGTGGAGTCACATGTGTCCTAAAATATCAGATGTCCTTCAAGCTGCTGTATTAAAATTCACAGTCAAGTTGCAGAGAGAAAATGCAGATACAATTTACATAAAGGAGTGGAGCCATCTGGGCAATTTAAGAGCTACACAGGCTAATAGAGCCCTTTTGATTTGGTAAAAAAAAACAAGACAACTAATCAGTCAGTCTGAAAGTTTAAACAAGGTGTTGAAGAAGCAGGGCTGCAGGTGTTATCTTGGCCCAGTGTTGGTGATGACAAAAATGAAAAACATTGTACTGCACTAACAAGCTTTTTGGCTCGTGCGCCAATAACACACTACATGCAAAGTGTCTTTATTATTGTGGGACTTGTATCTGGTGCACAATCAGCAATCACCTCATTAGTTAGTTCTGATTTAATGTAGGAAATGTTTTGACTTATTTCCCATTAAACAATGTGTTCTCTATGTGAATCATGGGACAGGGATTTTAATGTGTTCTTGGCCTGCACCAGCTACAGGCCGGGGTAGGTTGCTATGTGCTCAGTGGTGACAAACATGAAACAATACTCCACTTTACCACCAAAGGTGTCAATAAAGACGCCCTCTGCTCCTATTCTTGTGTTTGGACTTAACACTGAAAAAGACTTAGAAGACTTAGCAGAGTTTGCATTTCTACATCAATACAAATTTAAAAAAATGTTATTTTTTCATGAATGAAAAAATATTGTGACTTCATTTAATTGTCTGATTGTAGCAGTGCAGTCATTTTACAGCATCATCCTCTTACATTGGCCAATGTCTAGTGACTGAGGATAAATAACCAGTTGATTTAGGTTGTGTGGGTTGCAGTTCCACTATTTTCCATTTCCGGTTCCTCTTTCCAGACGTCTTTTCCCACTTCCCTGCCTACGTTTCTTGTCTTTTTTGATGGTATTCTTTCTCTCTTATCTTTCCTTTTTCCACCAACCCTCCAGATTGGAGCAAGGCGTCGCTCTCTGTTGATGCAGCAGAGGACAATGACAGCAACTCCAGCAGCGAGGAGCTGATGAACTCTGACCCTGAGGATGAAGTAGTAAAGAAGCTGGTGATCATAAACTCAGCCTTCAACAAATTGACACAAAGTGCATTTTTCCTTGTTCTGTGTCTAACCTGTTTAACATGTGTTAGTCTCCAGGAAAGTACACTGTGGTTGTGGATTTAGAAAAGACAGGTTCTCACGAGATGTCTGTCAAAAGTGGGGACATGGTCCAACTGATAAGAGAAGGAGAAAATGGACAATGGTGAGCACCTTTGTCTCTTATAGCTCAGTCTGTCTGTGATGAATTTCAAAGAGATTATTAAGAACATCCTTGAGACAATTATTGTGGCCTTCCAGTCTGGCCACATACATACAATAATCTTAAAGGAAATTGCAGTGAGCCGTACTATATACTCCAGCTAAACATGGCACATTTGAACAGTTTTACTAAAGGCAACACCTGGTGTTAAAGTTATTCATTCACAAAATAGCTTCAAAACATCTGAACTAAATAAGTTATATACAGGAAACATGTTCACGTTGCCAGGTGACGTCTTTCTGTGATTGTTTGACTCTCTGTAGGTATGTCAAGAACCTTTGCAGCAACATGGAAGGTTGGGTAGCAGATACAAACCTGCTTGGTCTCATCCCTGAATCCAAGTCTTCACAGTCGCTTAGCAGCTCAGGTAGGTTATGATGATGTTGTTGTTGTTATGATGTTTGACACTTACTGTGTGGTCTTTGTTCATATGAGTATTTTTGTCGTCTAGATTGCAGCCTCTCTGGGAACTACAGCACATCCTCCTGTTGCAGTGAGACCTACACCAGCTTTTCTGACATTAAATCCTGACCTGGGCAGCCATTTACATTTCAAAGTGACACCTACTCTACCACTAACTCTGTGAAAGCTGACCTGTGTGCCACTCACAACTGTGTTCAGCTTCAAAGGGACAAAAAAGAACATTTTAAATCTAGTCTCATTTCTTTATTATTTAATATTTAAAAATTAGCAAATGCAGGTCATTGATTTTAATAACTAAAGAACAGACAAAACATAAAACCCATCAGCCATTGTAGGTGTGTAGCAACATAGTCATCTAACAGTGACACACAGTAGATTCATATAGCTAGCTAGGTAGGCTGAAACGTTGATTCAAAGTATTTAACAATGAAATGCTAAAACATCCTTTGCTAGCAAAACCCATAAATACAAAACTCATCAAGGCAGACATTAGACATGTACACCCAACAGTAACAAACTAATAATAGTGCCAGGTTGTAGACATGCCTCTAGCAGCATTCCTGTGATTGAGAGGGTTAAATATGTGTGTATCTGTCCGTCTGTGTGTGAGTATGACCAACCACTGTCATATTGTCACCACACTATGTACGTTAGTACCTGAAAGTAACTTGATCTCTACACTATGAAAGCTGGCAGCTAGCCACAGGAAAAACATTTCAATGATTTTTATTGTATTGGAGAGTCTTCGAGTCATGTGATCTTAGACCACATGTTCCGAGCCCATACTGTAGCACGAAAGTCTTCTCTTTTCAAATCTTTCATTAGACAGAGCTAAATTCCTCAGTCCTCTGAATGGAGAAATTGCAGCAAAATGTGATAAAAAAGGACACATTGTTATTCCAGAATCCTGCACTTTAGTGGTGTTTTATCTGTTATATGTATAGTATCACTATGTGAAAATCTACCAGCAGCTAAGAACAGCACCATATGGTGGTCTACACCTACCTTGGAACAATGTCTTTCCCTCTTCTGTCTGTTCTTCATTTGTTTTAGTTTTTAGAGATACTGTGTCGTGTAACTTTTGTCTTCACATCTGTGAATTTATCACAACATCTGTGTTGGTAGGCAGATGACTATGTACCTTCCTGTGTCCACTACGGCAGTCTCTTTTTTGTATGTATGCATTCTTACAAAAAAATGAGCATCTTGGTTTAAAGGACATATACACCCACTTTGGTGTTAGTCCAAATACACCATGTGTATATTCTGTGGTTGTAAATGCTGGGTTTGTATTTACTGCTGTTTGCCTGGTATTTTAACTGTTCTACGGACCATCATCAGCAAAAATCTAGCTCTTTAATATCTCTTTATTTATTTACTTTTTATTTAGTCATGGCAGCTCTCTTCTCAACAGGCAAAGCAAACCACGTCTAGACTAGCTTCACATGTTTTCTACCACCATCCCAAAACCTATGCCAACCCCTAATGTCCAGGAATAATAGTCAAACTGTTGACATAAGAAAAATGGACTCAAAGTCTGGCTTTTGGTGTCAATTACACAGTAGCACGGTGGCCGTACGACCGTGGTGGTCCATGTGGCTAAATTGGTAGTGGCGTCACACAGCTGTTACAGTACTATCACTGCAGTACACCTTTGCATATGTGTGATTTTCTAAAAACAAAAATGACAGTCTGTTATTATGGTTTTTATATCCCAGCATGTCCAAACCTTGTACACTAAAACCTATTTTTGCTCCTCATGTTATATTTGTACAGACCTCGTTTCCAGGATGATATTTGTCCAAACTCACCCTATGATCCATTGTTATATTGTAAATATACTGCATCTGAGTTTATGTGTTCAAGTTGTATATGTGACACATGTCTTAGGCGTTTCCTCCCTATAACCCCAATGCTTTATTGAAAAGAGCAGAAACTGTACATTGAGAAGAGCATTGTGACGTCTGTGTATCTCCATCTATCAAGCATGTTTCATTACCTGTCATGTCACAGGGTCAGGTATGTGTATTATGCCTCATGGAAGCTGACATAGGCCCTTAACTTGTCCATGTGTGTTTGTGACCACACAAAATGAATCATTTGTGGATACTGAGGAGTTGCACAGATGTCAAATTTTATTTTTTATACAACATACACTGCAGCACAAACACTGTTCTTGTACCCCGTTGTATAGCTACAAGGTAAGATGTTAATATAATAAATATATTATAAAGAGACAATGGTGTATACCTGTAAATGTTATTCTGAATTGTATTTAAAATGAAAATAATATTTAATAAAGTCTGACATTGTTTCCACTATAAGACTTTTGGCTCTAACACAGATTGTTTATTTTAATTCCATTATATAATTTATTTTTGTTTCTCGTTTATCTCTTAGTACAGTTGTTTATATTAAATTATAGTTTTATTTTATATTGCCACTATGTTATCCATTATATTAGAAAATGTATTTCTTGGAAAACAAAACATTGATCACAACAACTCATTGATCACAGCTCTACATACGACGACATAGCTAATGTGCTCGTTCGTTGTAAAACGTTAACTTTCAAACCGAAATCCCTGTTTTATATGAGTATGTGCATTGGATATAGACACATTTGCGTTTCATAGTAAAATAATGCTGTAACGAGCGGCAGATAACCCCTGCGGATTATTACGATGCGGATATATTAAGCTAGCATGGGATGGTGGGACCGCAACCGGAAATGACGCATTAACTATAAAATTGCAGATTTGCTCGAATATATATATAATAAAATGCGTTTCTGTTTAAGTCTTACAAAAGTTTGTCGGGTATAAATTTGACTTCAAATTTAACTAGTGGTCCAATATAGTTAAACTTTTATTTTGAAATTGTAAAGCGGAATCCTTAACAACTTCACTTGATAGTAGGCTGGAGCAGCAGCAGATTGTACTCTGCACTGCGTTCTTCAAAGATTTCTCGCATTTTCAACCGAAACGACCGCATTTCAGCAGACAGACGTGAGAATCGAGGACGACTCGCGAATGTCAGCTGCGTCGTGAAGTTGGACATTTAAAGAACCGAGCTCTAACGTCCTCTCATTGTGAGTATCATTTTAGCTCTTACTGACGGAGAGCAGTCGCTACCAGTGTAGTGCAGTGAACCGTAGTGCTATTATTCGTACCCTTAAAACAGTATTCTGCTTCAGTTCTAGCTAAACACCTTTAATGGTGTGTTATTCGGGTTGTTATGGGCTCTTTGAACTTTAAATTTATAGTTGTACACATCCTGCAAGCGACCGTGATTAAACGAGGAAATCTGTCAAACAATAAGCGAGTTTAGCCTGAGGAGGCGAGAGGGGTGTGGTCTTGTTTAGTCACATTGTCTCAACTGTTTTGCGGCCTTATGTGTTCCTACTGTAACTGTGTGTGTAACCAGTGCACCTTTATGGCCCTAATCCTCAAAACACATATGCCTCACCCGAGTATGTATTTATAAATCTATATTTTTGTAACTTTATAATGTAAGGACATAAATATAGTGAATGTGGTGTTGGGTATATTAAACTTTCTGTTTAAAACTTTCGTGATAGAAACGACGAATGACCAGCTATTGTTATTAGGATCACAGTATAGGTACACAAACTCATGTTACCTGAGGCACTGCTGTAAATGCTGTTGTAATTCCTATTTTATGCTGTTTGTTGGCATAACAATATGTTTTAGGGAAATGTTTCTTTATGGTGAAATTATATTGATCATTTAATTATACAATGACTACAGTATTTGAATGCTGCTAACAGTTAAAAACTGCAGAAATTATTACCCTTAATGTAACAAAAATGTTGTCCATGTCTCCATGGAAGCCCAAAGTAGTATAGTTCTACCCTGGCCTGTAGATAGTATACTTAGTATACATTGGGAATAAATGCATCAATGTGTGTAAAGTACGACAATGTTTGTATGTATTGAAACTAGCTAGCTTAACCGTTTCTGCAAGAAATAGGAAACACACTGTGATTTTCCCCTGAATATAAAAAATGCCCTTCTTCTTCTTCTTCTTTTTCTTCTTCTTCTTCTTCAGCACATCATGGCAGAAACTTATAAACTCTTGTTTAATGAGCCAAAAGAAATGATAACCAGGCCTAAAGGCAGCTTTACTGTTTGTACAAACCACATATTTCCAAACAAACTTTTTTGCCGTTACTTTTTGACACTACATTTTTCAAAAAGGTGTAATTTCAAATGTAATTGTGTACAGACATTGCAGTTTAGATTTGCTAGCATCATCAACCTTTATTTGAATTCTATATTTAAAAATAATACATGTGTACGTGTATAAAAAGTCTTGTTACACTTGCCTGAGAAAGGAAGTAAAACAAATACAGTAGAGTACTTTCTGTGACCAGAGGCAAGACATGTCTTTAGGCAGTGTTTTCCAGTAATATAATAAATTCATATTTTACTCAGGTGACAGGTAAAATTATATTGAAATAAGTTTTGAATTTCAATGTACAAGACATGTCATTTCTTTTACAAGACTCACCGTAAATATTTGTGTGAACGCTGTGTGTTGCTGAAAATTGTCAGCAAAGTAACACACAACGCTGTTACATACTTAACACCTAGTTACTAGAATTGGAACAGAGGGATCTACATTCATTAGAAACCATTAGAAAAGAAATAAAAGCACTTGCACATTTACAGAATAAACAATTAAAAAAAAAGATTGTTTGACTCAAAGTCTTAATGCCATGAATATTTGTTATTATTAATAAAGAAAATTGATACAGTGCTGTACAGTAGAATATTGATATGGTATTATAAAATAAAATATTGCGATATTTCAGAAATTGCTATTTTCCTACTCCCCTATTTAATAACTTTTCAAATTTGTGGGTTTCCAACAAGAGATGCAAAGCCACGAGACACCCCTAATGTCTGGTTTAGAATCGCCAAATAACAGGGCTTCTGCTAACCAGTAGTCCTTATCCAGAGCTGCAGAACACAAATATAAACCATTGTACACAACTGTGTAAAACAATGTTGGAGCTATGATTCGCTTTGCCAAACAATATTTTTGGTTTAGTTGAAAAATGTAAATGTGAAATTAGTCATTTTTATACGATCCAATTTCTGTAGTCACATAATATGGATGCCATTGCTTGCAAAAAGCAGATTTTGAAGAAATGAACCTTTCGTTTTAAAAGAACCAGCTGAGCAAAGCAGAGTGGAGTTTGGTTTAGTGAGTTTATCCTTTGGATTTAAGCTTGAGCTGAGCCTTGACCTGCTACTACCACTGGCTGAATGACACATAGCTTAGATACATCACTATATTGCTATGTTTACTGTGGGTCATTCATGTGGATTGCTGACACATGGTGATAAAATGATGTAATCAATTCCACCCACCACCCTGCAGCTTGCATGTGCCTGTTATCTGATACTGGAAAAGGCAGCTGTGTTGTTTGATGGTGGCTGTGGGCCCGGCTCTGTGCTCCTCTTAACACTTATTAATCCTGATCATGTGGCTAGACACAGAACCAAAGGGTCCCTTCAAAACATACATGTTACACTGTTACAGTCACAACTCACCAACTCATGAACTTCTCTTTCGTTTTCCCTGGTCACTCCTTTCACTCCCATAGCTCTCTCTCTCTTTCTGGGCTGTTCTTGCCTGTTCACATTCCTTAACAGTAGGTGGCGATAATACCCCTGCAATGCTAGTTGACAACCAACATATTTTACATTTTACATGTTAATTGAGCATGATGAAAGGCATATACAGCACAGACTTATGAAATATAGATTTAATTTTATTGTGGACAAAAAGGACAAAAACCTCAGTGTATTTGTGATTCTTTTTTTTGTGGTACATTCAAATAGTAAGTTACCATCACGTATTTATATAATTTTAACAAGACCCTTCAGAACAATAGCAAGTTAACATTTATGAATCTGTTTCCCTTTTGTTTTTGAACCAGTACCAACACAAACATGTTTCTTTCATCAGGGAGCAGCATTAACAGTCTGTGTCCAGTAGCAGGTTCTCTGTTAGAGCGAGCTGAAGTGGTTGGGATTTACTGTGCAGGATTTCATTTACTGTTCAAATGAGTTTTACTGTTGTAAAATATTTTTTGTAATTTTAATGAAATGCTCCAAAACAAGTTAAAACAAGCTTTATATTCTTTAACAGAGAATAACGCCATACAAAATTTACAAAGTACATACCAAGTACAATCTCTGAGTGTTTGTAGTCTGAGTAATAAGTGTAGACATTGCCATCCATGTCAGCGGTGAGTGTTAGTTTATCAGACGTGGACCATCTCATCTCTGAAAATCAGTTTCATCTGTAGTCAAGTGGGTTTGTTTGCTCGTGTTAGAAAATAAATAACTGATTATTGTTGGTTGTTAATTGGTGTGCATATATATATATATATATATAAATATATATATATGTCTGTGTGATTTCCAGGTCCCTGGAAAAAAGAGGTTCTCATCATGCCACTGTTCGGTAAATCTCACAAGAGTCCAGTAGATATTGTCAAGACTCTGAGGGAAAACCTGGCCACCCTGGTCAAACAGGAAAAGAAGACAGAGAAGGTGTGTAAATTCACAGCACTCTGTGAAATATGACCAGGCATCATCATGTTTTATTGTCAGATTGACCATCCAAATAATATAACATCACAGATTGTTCGAACAGAGCGTTTCTTTACACAGAACCTGGAATTGACCTCTCATGACATGACCTCTCTTTTGTCTTTTTGCAAAGGCATCAGAGGAGGTATCCAAGTGCTTGGTTTCCATGAAGGAGATTCTGTATGGGAGCAATGATAAAGAGCCTCACACAGAGACAGTCGCCCAGCTGGCCCAAGAACTGTACACCAGTGGGCTACTAATCACACTGGTTGAACACCTACAGTTTATCGACTTCGAGGTTAGAATCATGTGTTTTGTCTCCTAACCTTTAACTTCAAACTTCAAATGTTCTGTATGAGCAGCTTGAAGAGGCTGTTATTTAACTTACAATCAGTTAGTAAATCATTTTATTGGTTGATTTTTTTTTTTCTTTCTTTCTTTCTTTCTTTTTTAACTCGTTTACTTTACAGCACACACATAGTTGTCTTTTTTATAAGGGATGTCAGATGATAACCACCAACCGATACTATAGCAAAATGATGTAATATTAGTAAGAACGTGTCACTGGATTTCCCTCCCATAATAACAACCTGATAATGCAATGCCTGGGGTACACCCAGATGATGTGACCAAAAAATAGTTTTAAAGTGAAAGGGAATTATTATCCTTGTGACAGCACACCACTGCACACAGTGAAATGTGTGCAGTGGTGTGCTGCAAATTGCTGCATATATCCGCATCAATTGATATGTGAATCGGAAATTAAGTGTTTGGACAATATCGGCAAAAAGACAATATCAGACATCCCTACTTTTTATACAGATCCGACAGTGTATTTAAGTTGACTTAAAACAGAGCCATTTAAAGTTGAATTATGCTTCTTTAAGAGGAAGAAAATCACAAAGACCAGCAGAGATAGTCAGGACACTAAAAGAAAACGTAATCCAGGTAAAACAGAAGAAAATGAGGAACGTGTGTAAATGCATTAGAGGTCATTAAAAAAAATGCTAACATCAAAACATAACAACACTGTCTTCTTGGAATGATGATGGAAAAGTCAATCAAAAAGCAAGTAATACAGGGTTCCCGCGCTTCTTAAAAAATTGCAAAACCTGAAAAATGAATAACTTAATTTTCCCATCATGGGAAAAAAAAATTCCAATGTCTTGGGAAATTCACAGCACTCCACTTGATACCACTTACTTTGGCATGTCACCTCAGAACAGCTCATTAGTTTCCAATTTCCGTTCTGTATCGTTAGATGAACCAACTTCTCTAATTTTCCCAGAGTTAAACTAGCAACATTCCAATGCAGGAATGGTTCTAGTTTTTGGTCCACAACAAATACTGTGTGGTGGGTGATTGTTTTTCTGTTGGAAAAATTAATTTATACATAATCTGGGGAAAATGTATAACATGCGGGGTACTTTTTATAAGAACACTTTTCAACTTTTTTGCAGGATGGGGAACACTATTAGTGTAACGCGATAGCTAGTCTCTCTCTCAGCGGTAAAAGTCCTGACAAAAACTTTAAAGAACAGGGTGAGGACCCTGGAATGGCAAGCTGCTCATTATAAAAAGCAGGATCATGTAGACTGTTTCTATATTTTATATAACGTCATATAAAAGATCTGTATTTAGATTCTAGACTATTGGTCGCCTTGAGTGTTTAAAATCATTATTGTTCCCCTAACAAATTAGTTTTCACTTCAGTAACAGAATTTTACAAAATTGGTCGGAAATTACTTTTTGGCCTTTTTTTGGCCTTTTTTTCAAAAATAATTTGTCCTTTGGCCCATGTGCGAGATAAGTTATGAACTCACCTTCTGAACTCACTAAAAGTAAGCATTCTTTTGGTGTGGACTAATCCATTGTTTTTTTCCATTCCTGTCTTTAGCTGAGTCCACCGAGCACCAGTACACTCTGTAAAATACAGTAGCAGCTCTGCTGTGTAAATACTAAGGAGATCAGTAGTGCGATCTGCTTGGTGGATCCAAAGTCAGTTCAGATCTCAGCAAGACAAAACTGGTTCAAATAATGCGTTTTTTCCAGGGCAAGAAAGATGTGTGTCAGATCTTTAACAACATCCTGAGGAGGCAGATTGGAACAAGGAGCCCAACGGTGGAATATTTCTGTTCCCACAAAGAAGTTCTTTTCATCCTTCTGAAAGGGTAAGACACAAAATATCTTCTGCACGTGTTCTAAACTGTTCAATACCCATAATCCACCTGTCTCTGCTGAAAGGTACGATACTCCGCAAGTAGCCTTGAACTGTGGGATCATGCTGCGGGAGTGCATCCGCCATGAGCCACTGGCCAAGATTGTCCTTTACTCCGAACAGTTTCACTCTTTCTTCAACTACGTGGAGTTATCCACCTTTGACATCGCCTCTGACGCCTTTGCCACTTTCAAGGTAACTGTAGGTTCCACCTAGCTTTGTGCTAAGATGGACATGTTGATGAAATGGGGGTCTGAAACAGGGGTCTTTTTTCTTTCTTTTTTTTTATTATAATCTTAAGCAACATTCTCAATGCACACCATTCCAATGTGCACACAGTAATTTTGACCAGATGACATAAAACCTTTCTTCTGTGTTTGTAATGTAAAGGAGAAGTATTAATTCACTGTCATGATGCTTCTGTTTCTGCTTCATCGTGTTGTTGACTCTGATTCTCTCTGTCTTCAACTGCAGGATCTCCTGACCAAACACAAAGTGCTGGTGGCGGAATTCCTTGAACAGAACTATGATTCCGTGAGTGCACGCACATCAACAGTATTAGCAGCATTCATGAACACAGACATTTGGGCAGTACTCCATTAACTTTGGTAATTTGGCACTAATAATATAGCAGATGCAAAGCAAGAAAGCTGTTTACCAGCAGTAATAGAGTTTGTAGAGGTTGAGAAAGGCACACATTAATTCCACTGTGTGGTAACCCGTCTAAAGCTGACAGATCCTTGTATACTTGCATCTTTGTAGCACATATCAAAACTGATCAAGTAATTAATTGACAATTATTTGTATCAGAAGAGACATACAATCTAGAACATGTAATACTACAAACAACAGAGTGCAAAAGAGTAAAATGCCCCTAATTATGTTACCAAACATAATACAGTAACAAAGTACAAATTAACCACGTACTTTATTGGCATGTACTGTGTGAGTGTGTACTGTGTTGATCCCTGACAATTGCACCAACAGTGTACAAAGTACTTGGCTCATTTGGCTTACAGTACAATGTGTTTTTACTACATTCCAGGTGTTTACAAACTACGAGAAGCTGCTGCACTCTGAGAACTATGTCACAAAAAGGCAGTCCCTAAAGGTTTGACTTTAAATATTGTTATATATTTGACAGTCAATCAGGAAGAAAATATATTTTAAATGTGAACATAGTCCGTTCCAACATTGACCATGTTTAGCCTTTGTTCAGTTGTTGTAGTAGATGTGGAGCCAGTGAAGTATTTGTTTTATTGTACTACTACTTTTGAAGAGTAAAAAAACCTATTTTAAATGCAAATGGTTATTCACAACTTTTGAACATTGCAGTCTGGAGTACTACATTTGTATTTACCAAACAATACACCATGATGTGTTCATTTATCAGCCATTATTATCACAACTCTCTCAAAGTGATTTGCTCTTCCTAACTTGCTCTTTGTGAAGAGACACTGCAGCCGTTCTTCCATCCAGGTGGCGTCAGCGTACGGTGGGAATAGAAGGTTTACGACATGTATGTCACTTTAAGAGCGTTTTAGAGGAAGTAAGCTTTTACAGGACCATGTTTGTTTGCAAATCCTGAAGAGCTCATTTTCCAGAAGTGAATTGCAGGCGTTGATTGTAATCTTTGTTTGCTGAACTTGATTTATGTGTACCTCCATGCTGCCCTTCCTCATATTTTGGCACAAATATAGGTTCAAATATCCTTGGATACAATATTTTTTCTTTAAGCCTGTTGGAAATAATTTAATTTTGTCAGTTCATGATAAAATATCAAAAGTATTACATTCGTTTAAAAATGATGTATGTATGTATGTTCTGGTTGTATCCTAACTACCAGAAATAGTAGAAGATAGATAGTGGTGACCTTTCGCAGTACTGTTCCTTAAATGTGATCTCACAGCTAATAGTCAGAAAACTCTGTGACTCATTCTGACTTCCAGCTTCTCGGCGAGCTCCTCCTGGACAGACACAACTTCAAAGTGATGACGACCTACATTAGCAAGCCTGAGAATCTCAAGTTGATGATGAATCTGCTGAAAGACAAGAGTGCTAACATCCAGTTTGAAGCCTTCCATGTCTTCAAGGTAAAAGACTGTGTTCATGCATTCAATGTAGTGGTTCTGTGAGACACTTTGATCTTCATTAGATTTAAAAACTTTAGTATTTTGAGTTAGGGTTTTGAAGATGCGTTAGTCAGCAGATGGTAAAGTAAAATAACTTCCATTCAGATCTTTAAGGAGTTGAATACACCCTATAAGGCCGCACCCAGTCCTTGATCCTTAGATAGAACACTGCTCTATAGTTCTAATCTTTTTTTAACTAAAGATGTTGGCTGATATTACAGGCCAGCCGATATTATAGGATATTAAATGCATAGTCAAATATTGGACTATACAAAATGTACCGTAATGTAAGACGCAAAGTTTTACTGTTTCTGTTCTGTGTAAATATCCCATGTTACAATGTGGACACCTGCGACTTATGGAGAAGTTTGGCCTACAGTATATATTTACAATTTTTTTTTTCCTTTTTAAATTTTGATATTTAGGTGTGCTCAATAGTCCGGAAAATATGGTACTCTTATTTTAAAGGACATGCCGAGTGAAAAAGTGTTGCAGTTGTAGATGAAAAAGAAGGAGGTGATTGTTATAACAGAAATGTTGTTTTTCTCCCCAGGTGTTTGTTGCGAACCCCAACAAGACGCAGCCGATCATTGACATTCTGCTTAAAAACCAGACCAAACTAATCGACTTTTTGAGTAACTTCCAGAAGGATCGTTCAGATGACGAGCAGTTTAACGATGAGAAGACGTACCTAATCAAACAGATCAGAGATCTCAAGAAAACTGCTTCGTAGAGAAGTCCCATCTTTTAATAATAGAAGGTAACAAAAAATACAAACAATATCAACACTGCTTATTCTATTTTTTATTTGAAATTTCCAAGAAATTTTGAGTGTCTTCTGCTCTGTTCTGTTAAAATGTAAAAAATAGTTTTGTGATCAATTATTTATATCACTTTTGTTTTGTTTTCTATCTGCAGCATGTAGTGCCACAATCTATGCTGGAGATTTTCCTTTCTGAATATTCCAAATAAGTAGCTATAAACCAGAAATACATTGCTTGATTTGATCGGGTTTGGTGTCATTAACACTCATACCACTAGTGGGAAACAAAATCTCAGTCTTTCAGTGCCAAAAAAGTCATGCTCTGTGTATATCCTTTTCTGAAATTTCCAGTTGTTACTTAAGTTGATAACAGTCTTGCTTTAAACAATCACCCAAAAAATGCAACACAGGTTCATGGATTCTATCAGTCAAGTCTTCCAAAAGCTCTAGATTGTCGTGTTGCTATTAAGAAGATAAAAAAGCTTTTAGGTACTGTTATCCCAATTCATTATTTAGTTATTTCTGGTACTAATTAAGGTGGTTAGAAGAACTTTGGTTTAAATATTAACTAGACAGCTACAGTTACAATGATGAATGACTTTATAGGGTTAAAAAAACCTATCCCCTATCACCTGTTTCACCTGCGAGACATTTTTGAGTATATCCCATTCAAAAATGTCTGAAATATAACACGTTTTTGTTTGGGTTTTTTTCTGTGAAATTTATTTTCTGTGCAAAACCATAGTTCAGTAATACACTGCGTTTTGTTTTGCACCTCAAGTTTTATTTTAGAACAAGTTCAGAGCGCTGATAATGTACAAATAAAAGGTTAAATGTTAAGTATTGAACTGTAACAAATTGGTACAGAACAGCTGTTTGTGTTACTTGCTGGGGTTTAAAAGCACTTTTTTAAATGATGAAAAATCTGATAACTGGGGTACCTTTATTATTTGCTGAACTGAAGTTGCTCAATTTTTTTTCCAACTGCTTCTTGTAATCAGTATGTATATTTCATTTTGTGTACAGATTGATTGATTGATTTTTTTTTTCGTCTGAGGGAAGTTTAAACATATAAATGAGTCTGTCTTTTCCTCCCTTTTTGTTGGATATTAGGAAAACAAGAGGTGCCTTTTTGCTTTGGTGCTAATTTTCCTAAGTTTCTCTTATGTTTTCACCATTTTCCCGGGGGAGCTTAATTGTGTTGATGAAAATATGCTCTAGACTGAACATATTTGCTGTGATTAAGCAGTGAACCTTTCGACAAGCTAGATTTGAGTTGCACTGTTTGAAGATGAAAACATTATAAGAAATGTGTTTGCACCAAATTCTAGACAGAAACTGAAGTGTTGTAATGACTTCAAGACGATTAGTGGTGACGGTGGCTAAATGTAGCAATGACAACTTCATGTATAGGTTAAATCATCGAGGTTAAAATGCTTCTACCATTTTTCATTTTCATAATAAATCTAAGATTTAAAAATATTCTTTACTTGTGTGAAGCCTTTGCCTTCAAGCTATATATATGTGTATATGTGTATATATATATATACACGTGTGTATATATATGTATATATGTACATATGTATATGTATAAACTTTGTTATATATAAAATTGTATCTTTACCTGCATGTTTCGCATAAAAATTAGGCCATTTAGAAAACATTTTTTATAAAATGTTTTGTCAAAATGTGAAATTTTTGTTTCACTTTTGATAGCATGTTTTGGGTGATTTTTGAAA